TATACTACGAAATATCGATACAAGAGTATAGATGAACATACATACATACATTAGTGCATAAGCAGTCCCATTAGATGATATGCGCCAAAGCTGGCATTTCTATGTCACATCGGTATACCACGAGAACTCCAACGCCAGAACTACACGCGCTCCTTCTATTTGTTTTATTTCGTGTTTCTATTTTTTATTAAAGTAGAGCGCACGGTTGTTGATAATTTCTTAAAGCAGTCATAGCATTATATTCGTACATAAACACATTTGCATTTAAGTACGAACACTTGCGGTTGCATACCCACCCAGTAAGCAAAATGTTTCAGAGTTGCTTTAAATCGAGACGACACAGTGAAATTTATCATCACATCACAGTGAAATTTAAAGAAATACTTAACCATTTTCGATATTTTAATATTTATTTATTTATTCATTGCAAGCAAATTAACAGAATGACTTAAAATTAATACCATTTCTAACAAATGGCAACCTTCCTAAGTAAAGGTCAGGAATAAATCCCATTCCAAACCCATTTCGATTTATACCCATCTTTTAGTAATTCATCCAACTTACTGAATAATTTGAATGTATCTTTTTATACACGTTCGAAATGTTCAAACTAAAGATTTCTTACCATTCTTTCGTTTTACTACGGTATTTTTATATTTCATATACTTTTTGAATTAGTTAATTGAGTTAGACCTTTCAAACAGGTGGCAGCCTTCTTCAAAAGTATTTTCAAGCTTAATCATTATTAATTCTCCTTGGCCGGACACTTCGATACATATTTTAATTAGCTGATGAATTAAGTAAAATTTTAATTTTCAAACATGTGGCAACCCCGCTAAATAGTCAGAAATAAAAAATTTTCAAACCTCCTTCGATTGAAACCCATATTTTAATAATTCGTTTAACTTATAAAATAATTTGAATTTAACTTTTTAAAAAGGTGGCAACTCTCTTCCAACACCATATTTTGATATTTCTATAGCTTCAGTATAAGTTAACTAAATTCGTAATTTCAAGCAGGTTGCGACCCTCTTCAAAATATTTTTAAACTACTACTTTCTAAAAGCCCTTTCGTTTGGCACCCATATGTCGATACATATTTCTCTTACCTAATATGATTTTTTAAAACATTTGGCAACCGTCTTATAGTTCAGCTAGGAAACAAAGCTTTTCAAAAGCATTTCGATTGATGCCCATTTTGTAATATGTAATTGATTTATTTTTTAAATAATTTTAATCTAATTTTTTAAAAGGCGGCAACTGTTTTCAAAAAAGTAAAATCTTATTGAATATCTACAGTCTAAGGCTTTTAGTTTGACGCCTCATTTTGAAAAGTCGAACGAACGGTGCGGGTTTGATGGCATTGATTATTAAATAATTTGAATTTAATTTTTCAACAGGTGGCAACTCTTTTCGAAAAACTAAAACCAGTTTGCATATCTACAGACCAATCGCTTTAATTTGACACCTCACTTTTGAAAATCGGGCGAACGGTACAGATCTTTTAACAAAAAATCCCTTCGCGTATTATATATCGTCCTTTAAAGTACAAAGCCGCGTATCGTCATTCTGCAAAACCGCGTAACTGACATTTGCTGCCAAAAATTGGATTTGCTCACACAAGCTCTTGGCTCAATCCGTATCCATCCGTGGTAATGGGTCGAAATACATGTCGGAAGGTGTGTCTGGTTAAAAGCACACACCACTTTTTTGTGTGTGCTATATATATATTCTGATCTTTTTATTTACTGGATATCTTATTCTAAGTATAAAAACGAGAAAAAATATATGTATTTAATGCTTTCAAACGCCGTCTTGATTAAAAGAAATGGGAGGAAAGAATCCATTTTGGTAGGTTTTTGAACCCGCTCTTGGTAGGAAAGAAAGTTTTTCAGTGGCAACCCTGTACCAGAGTCCAGCAAAAAAAAAACTTGATTGCAGATGTCCTCTAAAGCTGCTACGTCCGGTGAGGATGCTGTAATGGTTCTAAGCTTGTGTTTGGGGGTGGTTAATTAGAAGTTTATATCACTTAACATTATAGCACTCCTGAGCGCTTCTCGTAGAAACTCCGAAAGGAGCAATAACAACTTACCGCTTCACTGAACAAATTTTAAATGAAAGAAGCTCTCCTAAATGTTTCCATATTAATTTTAAAAGAAACTTTGTGAAAGGATACCGCATTAATTTTATGAGGTACTAGCTTGGTGGAAGGTTTCTCTAGAGTCTAGACTTTCTACAATCAGCGAGGAGGAATAAATACTTGCTCCCAATGACATCGCATTGAAAGTTACAATAGGGGTATTCTCTGAGTCTTGCAAAGCCCTTGCACGGTGCACAGATTGCACGGATTGCACGGTAAAAACCGGTTTTCGTATGGGACAGCTTTGCAAACCGTGCAATCCGTGCACCTTGCAAGGGCTTTGCAAGACTCAGAGAATACCCCTAATGTATTTCTGGAGGAAATGGCTGAACTTTGCCTCAAACAAATAAATATATATCCAAATAAGTTTGGAAAGGTCTTGGATCTCGTTTACGTTGATGATATTCCGAAGGCCTCTATTAATCGGTGTGATCCCCTAGTTTTGCCGGAAGATGCATACCATCCTGCTGTTGAGTTAAGCTACGAAATCATAAATGAAATACATAATAATAAGTCAAGTTCAAGTACTAGATATGTTTTTGCGAAAGCAAATTTCAGGAAAATTAACAAAGAACTTTCAAAGTTATCTTGGCCAATATATAGAGATGACGTGGAGCGTAGCGTTGAGCACTTGTGATACTGATACTGTTTTAAATTTGCTTCGAAAGTATGTGCCAATACGTAATATTGTTCATGAAGAACCAATACAATTATGGTTCACTAAAGAGCTTAAAAAATTTAAAAATAAAAAGTCGCACTCTTTTAAACTGTATAAAAGAACGGGCTTACACAGTGATTACCTAAGGTACTCAGTTTTGCGGCATAGCTGCTTTGCATTAAATAAGAAATGTTATAATTCATATTTATGTAAAATTAAGAAGAATTTAATTAACAATCCTAAATCATTTTATGGTTTCGTAAATTCAAAGCGTAAGGCACATGGTTTTCCGTCCGCTATGCATTATCGCAACACTGTATCTAGCGACAGCCAACTCATTGCCAACATGTTTGCTCGGTTCTTTAGGTCCAATTATTCTGTAGACTTCCCTATAAGTGGAGACTATCCGTACGAGCTTTGTCCAATCAACTCTGCTTATATTCCAGTAATATCTTCCGATGAAGTTTTACACTATTTAAAAACCTTAAAAGCGTCATTTAGGCCTGGACCTGATCATATTCCGACCTGTTTTCTTAAAAACTGCGCTGAGAACATCTGCGAGCCTTTAACAACTCTATTCAATTTGTCACTTAAACATGGCGTTTTTCCGTCAGCCTGGAAGGAGTCTTTCATAATACCACTTCACATAAACGGCAGCAGGTCCTCTATAGAAAACTATCGAGGCATAGCGAAACTCTCCGCTATCCCCAAATTATTCGAAGCAATTATTGTTAACCAGCTGACATATTCTATATCTTCTTCAATTACACAATCTCAACACGGGTTTTCTAAAGGAAAATCTACTATGACTACTTATTGGAGTTTACAAATCATGTCCCAAACGGTTTTAGAGAAAATGCTCATACCGACGTAATATACACCGACTTCAGTAAAGGTTTTGACAAAGTATGTCACTCGTTACTCATCCGTAAACTCGACCTAATGGGATTTCAGCCCAGTCTTCTTCAATGGATCTCATCTTACCTCTCTGATAGAGGTACAAAACTATCGATGGCACTATCGATAGTATCGATGTTTTTTATTTTTCCCTACTATCGATTGTTTTTTGGTCCTATCGATAGTCCGACAGACATGTGATTCGGTATTTATTTTAGTTTTATTTCTTCTTTTCGTTTCTCTTAAACATCCAAGTTGAACTAAAAATTTGGTTGCTACTTTTTTAAAAGAGTAATGTCAAATTTCGAAAATGACGCAAAACCTTGCATCTTTTAAAATACCGCTAAAAAACTGATACAAATTAATTTATACCAAAACTTTCCATATTATCTACCACCACTATTTATTATTTATGAAAAGGTAAATAAAAACCATTACTTCTCAGATAAAAAATGGTTTCTTCTTCTAAAATTGAAATTTACTTGATAAATACCTTATATATGACGGAGGAAATCTAAAACCACAAATATAAAATTTCAGTATGCCCAATTTTTTTCCATTTCAATTCATTTCAAATTTTCAATAAATTTACTTCTAACTTAAGGGTTAAACAATTAAAAAAGTGTACAGTAGTTTACAAGAATATCCAAACGTAGTTTCGAAATATATTTTTAAGGAAATCTTCATACGAATTGAGCCAAAACCATATAAATACGATACTATCGACGATATATCGATAGTTTTGAAAATAATCTCGAAAACTATCGATGGTCTGACTATCGATAGTTTTGCACCTCTACTCTCTGATAGAACACAAAGAGTTATTGTTAATAATTGTTCTTCCAACATCATTAAAGTTTCTTCAGGAGTTCCCCACGGAAGCCACATTGGTCCGATTCTGTTCCTGATATTCATTAATGATATTTCTTCTATAATAAAACATTCAAAAATTTTAATGTATGCCGATGATGTGAAACTTTTTAAAACATTGTCCTCTATCGAAGAAAGGTCTTTGTTACAAGCAGATCTGAACAACGTGGTTAGTTGATGTAATACAAACTATATGCCACTAAACCTTCAAAAATTTAAAGTTATGTGTTTCTCTCGGAGGGCTGTTCAACCAGCTGTTTATTCAATATCAAATTATAATCTGGAGCAGGTGTCCAATTTTGTCGATCTTGGTATCACAATGGATTCCAAACTCAATTTCAACCATCATATTAATGTTACAGTCAATAAAGCCAAAGGCGTTTTTGCATTTGTAAGGCAATGGTCAAAAGAGTTCAAAGATCCTTCTGTTACAAAAGCTCTTTTTACCAGTTTAGTTAGACCTATACTAGAATACGGATCTATTGTTTGGAATCCCCGCTACCAAGTTCATTCAGAAAGGATTGAATCAATTCAAAAACAATTCTTGCTATTTGCATTGCGTAATTTTAACTGGGATTCAGATTACAATCTGCCCCCTTACACAAGTCGTCTAAAGCTCATAAATTTGCCTACACTCGCAAGTCGTAGAGAAATGCTGGGTATAATATTTATCGTAAAATTAATGACAGGCTTGATTAATAGCCCGGCCCTCCTGGCTGAGGTAAATTTTAATGTTCCTTCTCGAGTGTCAAGATACTTTCGACCTCTATTTTTAAAGCCATGCAAAACTAATTTTGAACTAAACGAATCATTCCGTGGTTTATGTCAAGATTTTAACTGTCATTCCAGCACGTTTGACGTATCGGACTCGATTTTTACTATAAAAAAAACTATTATTTCCACTCTCAATAATTGAAATACTATCTTTAGCATATCCAATCAGCTGATGAATTTGATTCTGTAGCTGAATAGTTTTAGATCTCGACACTTAACAAATTCCTGTTTCCACTACTCGGCACCAAAAAACTAAAAAAAAAAAAAAAGGTTCCGTACGTCATGCGGACTGCGCCCCTCGTGTCGGTTGGGCGGGAATGGAGGGTAAAAAGCCGTTGGGATTAATTGATTAATTAATTTTTGCACCCGAAAATTTTAAACTTTTTATTCAGAACTTTTAGAAAAGTTTTGGGTATGCAGTTTTCTAGCTCAATAAATTTTAGTGTGTTTAAGAGCAAATTTCAAGTCGCTAGAAAATCGCGTTGGTTTTTAATAATTTTTTTGGCTGACGGTGTTGTGTATTTTCTTCCATATAAAATATGCTCGACAATATGGGTGTAAGACGAAGAAGGTTTCAAAAGATTTAAGTTTAAAAATATTATTAAACAATTTATATAGAGCTCGAGGCCATTTTTTAAATGAAAATTTATTGTGGAAAAGTAACAATAATTTGAAAAAATGGTAGAAGTGATAGCTATTTCGGAAATCACCACGTTTCCTCATCAGACTTCTTTCAGTAGGATTCGAACCGACGATCCCACTGACTCAGCCAGTTGCCTATGCACCGTGCTAAGTACGCCTTGTAAATTATCGTTTGCTTTTTCCACTATTTTCATTTTTGTTATGCCAACACAATCAAGCGCAGCTATTCCGCTG